GTGAAATGTCCCTTTATCAGCACCTATATGCATCTTTGCTACATGGATGTCACTTTCAACTATTCAACTATTGCTTGAACTTTTCATTCAAATAATCTCAGAGAGTAAGATGGAGCCAACCATCATAATTATATTCTTAGTATGTGTAAAATGAGAGAGGTCTATTTTTGAACACTGTGTCTGTAAACATCCGTTAGTAGAGTCGTAGGGTCTATGGTGTCCCCTCATTGACTGACTGGCCCGGAGTCTACCGTAAATGATTACATTACTGTGTGACGTCACAGCAAGGCCCTGAAAATCAATGGACTGTCATCCCTGAATACTAAATACACTAGTCACTGTGTGTGTGCGTATGTGTGTCCCCTCTCCTTATTTTCCCTCTGTCATTAATTATTGTCCTCATCAAGTATCTCTCTCTCTCCAGCGTGTTTGCCAAGAATGAAGTCAGTACACTTGCATGCACACATACATGCACACTTCACAACCCAGTGGCAGAAGCCTTCTCAGTCACGACTCGCACAGCACAAGCGCACACTCTCCCAGGAACCAAGAGAGAAGAAGCGAGAAAGAGAGAGACTGACACTATTAACACGTAAAATTTAAACTAAACTAAAAGTCTGAAGCATTTGTAGCAGGTTCTAGATGCTGCAATGTTTGTTTCATACCACATTATATTAAGTGTTGGATCAAACAAGGACAGTTTAGCTATTTTTGGAGGTTGGGCTACAAATATAGTTTGTCCTGAAGGCGATACTACGGGGAAAGGTCACGTGGTCATTAAAATCATAAGGACTTATCACATTGGGCTCATGATTGGGTTAAGAAATTTTATAGGAATGTGCTTCCATTTGGCATCTTCTGTGCAAAACTTAAATGTCGGCAACAGGTCACCAAAACTCCAAAGACAAGAAGGTTTATTCTCTAGGGACCATAATTATCTTGGAAATAAAGCAATTTTTGTTGTTGACCTGCAGACACACTCATAGATTTGGTTATGACGTAGCTGAGTCAGTCTTGCTGCAGATTTATCCCAGTGGCCGACCACAGTATTGCAAGAAATACAAGAAAATACATTTTTGCCACTGACTGCCATCAAAAAGGAGACAATGTGTGTTTATGTGACTGCAAATGGAAGCAACAGATGAATTTGTGTAGGAGGCAGCACATTATCTTCAATGTTACACCACACACATTTGTACAACCATACTTGGACCCACACTAAAATAATACATTCATTAAACCTTGGACATTTTAAATTTAGGAAGATCTGGAAATCTGATAAAGCAGTTTTCCTGTATTACATTTCCTTAAAACAGGTCTGAACCCTCAAATAACCCTTCGGAGAAGTTTTCAAATATGTCTTCCCTCTCAAGGTCTTAAACCTTGCATCGAACACACTGTCACACACACAGCAAGGAAACATGGTAAACATATGCTAGCTCCTTACAGCATGTGTTTATACCAAGACCTTGCATTCGATTTAATATGATCTATATGAATATACATGAACACTTGAAATATGACTATAATTGGCGATAGAAGCCATGCATAGTAATGGTGTGTATACACATACAGTATCTCAATACAGAAATACATTATGTGTGTGTATATGTGTGTGAGTGTGTATGCACCATAAGGTAACAGCAGTGTGTGTTATATAGGCTGTGCTGAGTGATTGATCATAGGGAGCAGGGAAAAGCAGGTTACTGCAGCGCTCACACACGCTCACACACGCACACACACACACACACACACACACACACACACACACACGCACACACATACGCCTTCCCTCACTGAGCGTGCTCCTTTCGGTGTTTGCTCTTTCTCATTTCCCTCCCTCTCCCTTCCCCCCTTCTTCCATCTCCATCTTTGCCTTCCCTCCTCCTCCCATCCTTCCTCCCAAGCTCTTTCGCTCTCTCTCCATACATCACTTTCACTTCCCCCGTCTCCCCACCCATCACTCTTCCCTCCTTCCTGTGGTCTTCCTCCTCCAGCTCTACCTCCTCTCTGCTCTCCATCCCTCTCACGCCTTCTTTAACAGCCAAACCCATCTTGTATTCCCTCTCTCTCTCTGTCCTGTTATCCAGAGCCCAGGGGAACGGAGACACATCGTCACGTGTCCTCTTCTTCTTCCACCTCCTCCTCCTTTTTCCTCCCTCTGTTATCTAGCTGCAGTAGTACCGCTCCACTCTACTGCTGCTCTGGCAAGAGGAGGTTTCATTTCTCACAGGGCTCCCTCTATCCCTCTGCCTATCTATCTATCTATCTATCTATCTATCTATCTATCTATCTATCTATCTATCTATCTATCTATCTATCTATCTATCTATCTATCTATCTATCTATCTATCTATCTATCTATCTATCTATCTATCTATCTACCCACTGTGGCATTTTTCTATAAAAACTCTCTATGTGTATAGTATTTACTAGCATCGAGCATTGTAGTTGCAGATCGCAACTCCCTCGCTTCACCCTCCCCTTCCAAGCCTGTAGGAGAAACTACAGTGGAAAGCTATCGCGTAAAAAAGCGAATGCCCCTATCTAGAGCCAGTGTTTGGTTTGGCCCTTCTGGGCTACTGTAAAGACATGGTGGACTCCATAAAAGATGACTAATGGTGCCTTGAGAGGTAAACGGCTCATTCCAAGGTAACAAATACATATAATAACATGAACATACCTATGGATATTATATTCTATTTCTAACCAATAGAGCCTTCTAAATGTTACACACAGGACCTTTACAGGTACTTTATTTGACTGGACGTGACATAAAGCTCCTTGTATTCACTACTTTTTGTGCAAGAGGGTTCAACAGCAGACCTCACTTCTGGGGCCCAGTGGAGTATGAGCCAATGGGAAGAGTGTAGGGATCCAAAGAGTGGAGCGTCATTTTCTTTATAGTGTATAATAACTTTTATTAATTGATATTGCAAGTTTCACAGCTACTGGAGTTTCTCCTACATGCATGGAAGGCTGAGCTGTATTCAAATGGTTGCAATCTGCAACTTCCCTGCTAGATGTCAATGAATCCTAGACACTGGTCATTTAAGATTATTTAGTCATATATGACCCTCACATTCAGATAGCTTTTACATTCATAATATTGTACTTTAGTGGAAGAAACATAAGAGACCCACCTCCCTCCCAGGCATCTCTAATTTTGTTAGTTCTGTCCTTTTCTGACCACCACATGTGCACCTCCTGTGAGAAACTAATAGAAAAACAAAGGTGGTGGAAACACTAGTACAAGTTAGAACACCTTTAGTGAGGGCCAACTACACTCTGCACGCTTCTACAACACCGTGGTAGCAGTTAATATCTTGGGAAGATGAGTGACAAGACAAAGGGACAGAAGTGGTACTGAGATGGGGCTAATAACACATTCCTTGCCTCAGGAATTTAATAGTCACAGATTTGAAGCTTTAGTAGAAAGATCAGTGTATTTCTTAACGGTACTGAAATGTTGTGTAGCATTTGTTCATATTATTCTAATAATGTACATTTAAATTGACCAGAAAGAGAAAGCGAGAGAGAGAGAGAGAGAGAGAGAGAGAGAGAGAGAGAGAGAGAGAGAGAGAGCGATGGAGATAACTCTGCTACCACTCTCTCAGATATTGCCATAACAACAAACCTGCTCCCCCATCTCTCGGAGAAGTGACATTTCACTTTGCCCTGGTTGCTGCTCCCTGCAGTGCTGCTCTGATCCAGCCTGTGAGTGTGCGTGCGTGTGTGTGTGTGTGTGTGTGTGTGTGTGTGTGTGTTTTTGTCCTCATTAAAGGAGGATAGCGACTGACGGGGAGTGGCCCTGATCACACACGCACACCTTGTCAAACCAGACCTCAGCTGTGTCTATGTGTTTGAGTCCAGAAGAGAGAGGAAGTCATGCTACTATAAGACACACACAAACACACACACACACACACTCACAGATTCAGAGTAAGGATTCAATGTAAAAACAAAGATCTGTTATCTTGATGCTACCCGTTATCTTTACGCTTTTGTAATATTGTTATCAGCATCAACGCTAATAAAACACACTTTCTTAATTGAACTTGAAATGTGTGTGTGTGTGTGTGTGTGTGTGTGTGTGTGTGTGTGTGTGTGTGTGTGTGGTGGGTCTCTGTCCTCTGTTGAGGACAATTCATATTACACTTTTGGTAAAAGCAACTAAAGAAAAAAATAGGGAGCAAAGGCAAAATAAGAGCCAAAAGATCAAGCAGAATCCTTCTAGGAGACACTAATTGAATTATTTTTTGCATTATTGTCTTCTTTTTTCCATCTTTCCATTGACAGATGACATGCTCGAACAACAGGCCAATGTGAGAATGTGAGTAAAAACCATGACAGAAAAAAAAGGGGAATATATCAGTCCACAATACACAAAGCGCATACAAATGCACACACACTTACACACATGTACTATATTGCACACGTGTACTATATTGCTACTGTATTTACTATAAGCAGAGTGACCAGTAGGCCATTGGTCTTGGAGGTTTGTTCAGTTTTGAGGCAGAAGTGTTTGTTTCCCCGTATTAACAATGGTCCTTTTACTCAGTGGGCTTAAATGCATTTTAACCATCTGATCCCAGCTTTTGGCACAAACCTGAGTTCAGTAATGTCTGTACAAACTGGATACGTGCCTTCATCAGAGGGTGAATAGAAACATGTTTGAACCCTTTGCTGTGTCATGGAAAGTGCTAGAACTGTAGCAGAACAGTTCACTTCTGGTTTCCAAATTTATTCATCTGAAAATTTTAAAAAAGCCTCAACCTGATTGCCCCAACTAACCCAGCGCTAGAGTGGAGCAGGTAGCCATGGAAACCCATCCTACACATTTCAGTATCCAGAGGGAGGTACACGTTAGGCACCATGTGCACAACAACAAGAGGAGACATAGAAATGAAACTAAAAAGTAAAATGACTACAACACGAGTAAGATATACAAAAACTAAAGCTGAAATGAGTTGTAAGAGATATTCCTGTGGACTCACCCAGTGAGCACGACCACGAAGTCCATGACGTTCCACCCGTTCCTCAGGTAGGAGCCCTTATGTAACGCAAAACCTAGAGCCAGGATCTTGATCCCTGACTCAAAACAGAAGATGGCTATGAAGTAGGGCTCCGTTTCCTCCTGCAGGGGAGGCAAGGCAGGAGGGGAGAGGAGGGGGTTGGAAGAAGGATGGAAAGAGAGGAAACAGGAGAAGGGATGAAAAAAGGAGTAAGAAAGACAGGAGATGTGTTGAGAGGAAGGGTGGTGAGAGAAGGCAGATTGTGGGTCATTTTCTGTTCACATGGAGTTAATTTGTACCTAAAGGAACATTCTTTTATTTTTTATAGGATATGAACAACTCAGCATCAGAATGGACAGATCTTTTTCACAGCAGCCATTTTAACATGAAATAGTCAGGTAAACATAGGTTTTACCATATGATACTAATTAAGGTTCTATTCCATTGAGGTAGAACAGAGTCAGGGTGCTGCTGGTGTGCATGGTGGCTCACTGGAAAGGCTCTGCAACACTAAATGGAACCGAACCCTAATTAGTACCATTGTAAACACCTGTGTTTACTATTTCATGTCAAAATGGCCGCTGTGAAAAAGGCCCGTGTGATTGTTTTCTGTGTGTATATTTGTGCCTGTGTGTGCTTTGTGAGTGTAAGTCTTTGGTCTCTGTGTATTTGCAAGCCTTTGTGGATATTTCTATCTGTACACACACTGCCTACAGTACGTGTTTGTATACAGTAATTTATGTGTGTGAGTGTGCGTGTGTGTGTGTGTGTGTGTGTGTGTGTGTGTGTGTGTGTGTGTGTGTTATTGTTACCAGTCGCTCAGACAGAGGCGTCTTGTCTCCATCGGGAAGATGCTGTTCCAGGGCCAGGACGATGCAGTTTGCAATGATGGTGGTGAGGATCATCCATTCAAACGGAGTGGAGCTGGAGTTAAGGCCAACATCACCAACAAGTAGCACACACACCTCATATACATGTACATTGTGATCAATCACACTGGAGAGATCAAACAACCAGTCTGGCCAGGGACCTCTGTGACATTTTCCTCTCTCTCTTTCTCGCTCTCTGCATATTTTTCTTATGCTCTCTAATGCCAAACTGTCCAATAAAGGTGAAATTGCATTAAAAAATGACTCTTGATCCATAAGTTATGACATTTTCAAAACTGCATTAAATAATTTGTCTGGCGTTTTCCCCAAAAGTCCATTTGATTCTCTTATGTTAAAGTAAAAAAAAAGTCTTATTCCTTTTGTTTTATTTGCTTTTGTATCTCTGGTTTTCCTGCAACGCACACAGTGACTCATCTGTATGTTTTAATGTCTTTGTAAATACACTTAACTCTGCTTGAACTTTACAGAAGTTGACTTTCATGGAAACCCTTTATGTGTCGATGTGAGCACACCACATTACACATTTCTGCTTCTGCAGTCCTGCAGCCGGAAAATCAGAAGTGCAGCAATGACTGACATCGTTAAATTTAAACTGAAAACGGTCAGTTTATCAAAGCTGTATGTGGGGGGAAAAAATCCCTCTACACACACACACACACACACACACACACACACACACACACACACACACACACACACACACACAGGCTGACTCACAGAGGTCGCCTGGTGGAGCAGCCAGCTTTTCACAGCGCTCCATCCAGTCAAGTGCGTTTGTATGTGTTGTGTTGTGGTGTGTGTGTCCATGCCTAAGTAATGGCCGCTGGAGGGGCTGAGATGACTGGATACATCCAGACAGATCAAGCCTGTGCCTAATTGGCCAGTCATTATCCTGTTAGCTCGTATGTGTGTGTCTGTCTCCGCGTGTGTGTGTGCCGGGAGTGCATGTCTATTGTCGTGTTTACCAGATGCAACGTTGACATTGACACTATGGCCGGAGGACGGCCTCTGTGTGGTGTGTGTGTGTGTGTGTGTGTGTGTGTGTGTGTGTGTGTGTGTGTGTGTGTGTGTGTGTGTGAGGGATAAGAGGCTGCTGGTTGATGTGAGAGGATCAGACAGGTCGGTCTAAGGGGTACACACTACCAAGACGATGCTGAACTACACTGCACATGCTGGCTGGCGGACACAACGCACACACCTACTTGTGAAGATGCAGCCGTGGAAACAGCACTTTGAACGTACCTGAATGCTGTTTGGGAGGAAAACTTGGGACAAAAAGGCATTCTGGCTTAGATTCTAAAAGTCTAGTTTCCTAATATTATGAAGTCTTGCCTATACAGCCCATAAAGCCAATTAAAAGGCCTGGTAATGCAAAGTCTTCTGCTATTCAGTTCACAGAACTGTCAGTGTGTCTGTACTGTTTGTGCTGTTAAATACATACAGTCGAACATTCACACTCATTCTCAGATGACTGCTGTGAGACTTGACTTTCTAAATACTTCAGCTGAGTTGAGATTTGAAAGCAAAGACATTCAGCTCTCACGTTTCAAAATCGTAGAATAAGCTATTGTTAAAACTTTATTTTTGGGGGATTTCAGCTTTAACAAAAAAACCCACTAATAATACAATTTTGAAAGAAAAATTGTTATGTCATTTCTTAAAATGACAGGAGAAGCGCATTTCTACAGATTACCTCCCATTTATTGTGACAAAAGAGAACATTTGCTACGGTGATAACAGAGTTGTAAAACCCTGTCTGAGTATAAGCAGTGTTTTGGCATCTGATAAACCCTTAAATTCATTAATCTGTACTCCAACTGGACTTCCTGGATGGTATGTCATGTCTCATTTGTACCTTAAACAATAGGTCCACTCCGATGTGGCCCCTGCACTGTTTTGACAAAGGGCTGGTTTTGATATGAATCCCTTGTGCTAAAGGACTTAAAACTCAACTTTTACTCTTATTTGTGGTTCTTACTGCAGGATATATGTTACAACTATATGCCAGAGTGGAGATGTTGTTAATACCTTCTACCCATGTTTGGGTTTTTTTTTCAAATCACTGTAAGTAACCATGGTATGAGTAACTTGCTGGATTTTGTTGCAAATCAATTTACAGTAACCTTATGCAACCCACAGATTGTGTGTGTGTGTGTGTGTGTGTGTGTGTGTGTGTGTGTGTGTGCTTCAGACTACATGCTAGCCTGCTACACCATCTATTATTCAGCAGACACACACTCTGCTGGCGTAACAACCTGCTGAAAGCAGGAGGCAGCACTCCCGCTATGTGTGTGTGTGTGTGTGTGTGTGTGTGTGTGTGTGTGTGTGTGTGTTTGTGTGTGTGTGCTCCTATCTCTTCACTTCCCTGCAGTCCCTATAGCTATCGAGATCTTTCGCTCTTTCTTCCTGTTTTGTCCTCTTTCTATTTTTTTCTTTCTCAGTTTGTTTTGTCTTCTCCTCCATCCTATTGGTTTTCCTTTCTTCCTCTCACGCTTTCTTACTCCCTCTTTCTCTTACTCCTTGCCTTATCACTTTCTTCCTCCAGCTGACTGCAAACTGTAAGTCACCCCTCCCTTCTTCCTGTACTTCTTTTCTTCCTTCCATCCCTCATTGGCCTCCTCCAAATTCTATCTTCCTCTCTTCACTTCTCTTCACCCTATTCCTTCTTTTTGAAGGGGGAGAGAAAGATTATGTGAATCGGAAGCAATTAGAGAGCAGAAATATTTGGCAACAGTATTATTGGTGAGCGCTGCAAAAACGTGTGTGTGTTCCTCTCTCGTTAATTAAAATGGCTTTCTGATGGCCACAAACAAGCCCAGCCCTGCCAAATACCACTGACCTCACATCTCCTCTCTCTCTCTCTCTCTCTCTCTCTCTCTCTCTCTCTCTCTCTCTCTCACACACACACACACACACACACACACAAACTGTCTCTCCTCCTCCTTTCAGTCTTTATCTCTTCTTTCCACTGCAGGCGGCTACTCAAAGCAAACAATTAAACACACACACACACACACACGCAAAAACGAATGCATGTATGCAAACAGAATGAACACATGCAAATGCACACACACACACACACACACACACACACACACACACACACACACACACACACACACACACACACACGCACACACACACACAAGCAGACATTATGACACTGACACATTGATATGCGCAGGTAATGCTCTATTACACACATACACACACACAGGGAGAAAGGAAATACCCACATCAGCAATATTTTGTTGCTCCATTGCCTATTGTTGTGTATACACACACACACACACACACACACACACACACACACACACACACACTATGATTCTGCCAGCAAGTGTATTAACTTATTACAGAGAGAGAGAGATGATTGGTATTTATGTACATGCTCCATTTTTCAGCCAACATTTCAAAATGGCCGCATACCGCGATGAAGTAAGTGAGCATCATTTTGGGATAATGGTGAAGTGACCCTTTAAGCATTAACGCTCTGTCCTTGTAAAAGTAAAACCGCAGTTACACAGACTCAGACAATCAGTGTTCCTGGGGATTTGGGATTAGCGAGGTCCGAGGTGAAACGTCTTTGCCTCAGTCCCTTAGAGTCCAGTTTGGACCCGGGAGAGGGGTCCTATTAACATGTCCTGACAGAGTTGCAGGATTGTTTCCGCTTCGTTTGGACCTTTCCTTTATGCCTGAGCGCCTGTCCTTAACACTTCCAAACCAATATACTGTTGTATTATGGATGTCGTATTTTTTCATACACACTTGTACTTTAATACCCTTTAATACAGTATTACCCGCCCATCTGTGCCTTATGACTGCTTCTATCTTAGTACAACAGACTTAATGCTATCATCCCGCACACACTTTAATCCCTTCACAGTACACCTTACACCTGTGCCTGCCTATATTCCTGCATCCCATGCCTGTATGTTATGTATTATAAGCAATGCAATTACACCTAATATTACACCCATTCACCCATTCTCTTATCTGTAAATACAGTAAAAATAAAACTACCCCTACACCTAGAGAGGATCATGTAGGCTTATGTATGTACTGTATGTAATAGATCAAAGTGTAATTGAAAATTTGGAATTGTTTTTAAATTTCTATCGATCCAATTTGAAAATTGGACTACTTTAATTTCTATTCATGCCTTGGGATGCCTGACAGGGTGAAATCTGAGTGTTTTGGGGTTTTCTTTGCCTGTGAATATATGCAGATATACGGCACATGGCTTGTGAGCTACAAGTATATTATGGTACTTTTACTAAAATAGGCTGGGACAAAAAAGCTGAATACACTAGCTTATTTAGCTAGCCTATTTTTAGCCATATGAGATGTGCATGATGTGCTAAAAAACACTTGTTGTGTGTGTGTGTGGTATGGTACAGCCATTGGAATCAGAATAAAACGATTTCACTCACAAATTCTGCTTTAAACCGGACCAAACATAAGTAAGCTTTCATGCTTTGTTTAATGTACTTACCCATTCTGTAAATAAGTTACAGTACTTGCAAGAAAACCCAATTTCTGGCTACATTTTAATGTCCAGAGACCTCAAACTAGTCCAGTACATGAATTTGACTATTTTTATTCTAATTTCATGTATGTATTCATTTTCTTGCCTGTATTGTAGTTCTACCCTAACACAGAAGGTTCATTCAGCCACTCAGTAAAGGTAAAACAACACATATTGTACCTGCTATACACAACTACCTCCACACCTACACAAAGGTGCTCCTACATGCTTATAAAACTACCTGTCCCAGTATTCCCAGTTTATGTTGCATGTGTATACCCACTGTTGGGAAAAACTTCCTCCATGAAGACAATAAACTATATACCTGTTAAAAAGTTCTCCTCTGTCTTCACACTACAAGCCCAAATGTCTACAAAACTACCCACACCTATTTAAATATGCCTCCGTCTAAGTCATCCTGTGAAAAATGTTGTTGTGTACCAGTTTGCTTGTCTGTGTGTGTGTGTGTGTGTGTGTGTGTGCAAACGCAGGCTGTGTAT